TTTGATGGGCGGAAGGCAGCGCCACCAGACATTGGCGCGTTCGTCCTCCTCTCGCTTCCCAAAGGTAATGCTGCCGCAAGATGAGAAAACGTTTTTTAAGAGATTGTGGACAAAGATGCCCCACTTTATTTTTTTTCCTTCATTCTGTGCCGAGGTTGCGGTCTGGCATCGTCATCTATGAACGATCCCTTTGCTTCTCCTCCCCACAAAAGCACGCCTAGTGTTTGTTTTTTTTTTAACGTCTCTTTCTGTATTTTCTTTATTTTCTTTATTATTTTCTTTATATTTTCCTTTTTATTTTCCTTATTTTCCTTTTTATTTATTTTCTTTATTTTCCTTTTTATTTTCCTTTTTGTTTTCTTTGTTTCCCTCCTTGTTTCCCTCCTTGTTTCCCTCCTTGTTTTCCTTATTCTATGCTTTTCCTTATTCTTTTCTTTAATTTCAGGATGTCGGCCCGAAATAGCTGCTGCTTCCACGGAGCCGCAGATTAAACGAGGCCGGCGTGAGGCTGACGGCGATTGTCAACGTCCTGCGACGTACCCAAAAACCATGTGAAAGACTTTTTGTACGCATAATAAAGAATATTTTGCTACTTATAATGTCCGTGCATTTGTTAACAGCGCCGTTTCCTGCTCCGATGGGGAGAAATATTCCAAAATGGAAGAAATGAGAGAGATGCGGGCGCCCCGGAGGATGGTTTTCACGGGGCACTTGCTTGAAGCCCATCAGCTCCGTGGGCACAGGAGCTTTGCTCAAGACGTTTCTCTTTCTGTTGCAGCTGCAAGAGGCGAGCACGGCCGCGCGATGAGGACGTGGCCCAGATCGGCCTGAAGAGGATCAGGTACCGGGGGCCAGTGGGGAGGGGGAAGCTGCCGCGCCGTGTCCCAGCCCCTCGGGAAGACGAGAAGGTGCAAGCTCAGCCCTTCCATGGTGGGACGTCCTTGGGAAGCAACCCTTGCTCTGAGGAGCCTCCTGCGGGGCTTTATTTCCTTAAATTCAGCTTTTGAGGGGTGGGAAAGGGGGAAGATGGGTGAGGAGCACCTAGCAGGGTGCCGAATCCAAAAGCCACTGCTTTTTCAGCTCTCCTCCCTGCTCATCCTGACTGACGATGGTTTTTGTCCCACCTTCTCTCCTGCAGGAAGGCAGCCAAGCGCGAGATCCTCCTGTGCGACTTCGAAGGCTGCGGCAAGATCTTCTCCAACCGGCAGTACCTGAACGTGAGGGCTGGGGGCAACCCTTGCGCTGAAACCCACCTCTGGTGCCGCGGGAGGTCTCTTCTGGGGCCACCAGAAGCTTTGGTGACTCACCAGACTGGTGGTCAAGCTCCAATTTGAGCATCTTGACTTTCGTCCTGGAGTTGGGCAACGTCAATTGCCCCGTGGCTTTCTGAAGCTGGGGGCAACCCTTGCGCTGAAGCCCACCTCTGGTGCTGCGGGAGGTCTCTTCTGGGGCCACCAGAAGCTTTGGTGACCCACCAGATGGGTGGTCAAGCTCCGTTTTGAGCATCTTGGCTTTCGTCCTGGAGTTGGGCAACGTCAATTGCCCCGTGGCTTTCCGAAGCTGGGGGCAACCCTTGTGCTGAAACCCACCTCTGGTGCCGCGGGAGGTCTCTTCTGGGGCCACCAGAAGCCCCAATGACACGCTTCAGGGAGCAGAACGGGGTGGGGAGGGTGAGGTTGTCGCTGGAAGGTGCCCTTGGGCTTCCTCCAAGCTCAGCTTCTCGGCGCCAACCTCCTCTCTCTTCTTTCCCCGAAACGGCAGCACCACAAGAAGTACCAGCACGTCCACCAGAAGACCTTCACCTGCTCGGAGCCCAGCTGCGGCAAGTCCTTCAACTTCAAGAAGCACCTCAAGGAGCACGAGAAACTGCACAGCGGTGAGTTGGCCGCCTCGGTGCAGGCCACGTTTTCCCTATACAGATCTATACGTCCCTATAGCTCCCATCCCATGCTGGTCCCACCTTCACTGGGTTATGGCTGCCCGTACCCACGTCTTCACCATTATTTGAACCCCTGGTAGATGTTGCTCCACCCATTTACTTTCAACTGTGTCGATCCCTCGTCTCCGTTTTTGTGCTGGGAGAGCATCTTGCCTCCTAAAACCCATCCTGGAAGCCCC